TTCATGAAGCCAATTCAAAAAGTATTGTCCACAGTCTGAGTAGGAACTGCGGAGGGAGTCATACTGGAAACACTAACATCTTTGTTTACAACTCTTCCCTGAGAAATCATCAAATTTGGGCTGTATTTCACAGGAGGCAAAAAACTAAAATCTTTGTTTCCCTCCCCTTTGTCAGTTTTAGCTCAGCCCTGCCACTGAGTAAACACTTCTGTCAGAGATAAGCAACCTGTTTGGGATACGTCCAGGACACTGTTCACTGATTTATCATTTTATCACAGACAAACAGAATCTTCCCAGTGGACTGAGAAGTTTTCATTTGTTAAACATTAATTAAATAATCCATATACAAGGTGATCATATGAAACCACCCATACAATAAATGTGAATGAACACGTTATTCTGCTTTAGAAATTATTTTGATTCCCTGGGGATTTTTAAAATATCCTCTGGATGTCTGGTTTGTTGAGGTGGTGTCTGTATGTCACTGTATATGGAATGGAATTGAGCTGAAGCTGGACTGAATTGCAAACAATTTTTCCCTTGAAAAGACCCTCCCTCCTTTTTCAATGATGTTTCAGGAAGACCTTGAAATATATTCTCAAGAGTAGATGAAACAAACCCGTCCTTCGCTCTCCCAGTTTTAGCATACTGTGATATAACAATGGAACTGCCACAACACACAGTTGCAAAGCAGGGGGCATGAATCCAGCTATACATGATAATTTGTATTGGCTATATACATCAGAATACACATTCAACCATTTATACCATTGTGACTTGCTCCTGGGCAACATCAGGATAGCATCATGAGGGCAACATTAAGGAACATAGGAAGGGCCCTGCTGAATCAGAGCAGGGTCCACTTAGACCAGCATCCTGCTTTACACACTGACCAATCAGTTGATGAAGAATAAGAGTTGGCCCTTTACTACCTGAAGGAGTCTTGGAGTCACTTACAATCACCTTCCCTTCCTCTTCCCTCAACAGACACCCTGTGAGGTAGGCGGGGCTGAGAGAGCTGTGGCCCAAGGTCACCCAGCTGGCTTCATGTGGAAGAGTGGGGAACAGTGTTCCCTCTAACCTGAGTTAGTGTGAGCTATCTCACAGTTTGTTAGCCCCCAGCTCACAGATTTTTGCCTTAGCTCAGGACGGATGGCTCCAGAGCAAACTAATTTATGCAGTAGCCAAATTGCTGGCTCACAACTCTAATGCCAGGAGCTCGCAAAGTAGAATTTTTGCTCACAAGACTCCACAGCTTAGAGGGAGCATTGGTGGGGAATCAAACCCAGCTCCCCAGATGAGAGTTCTGCCACTCTCAGAGGTCATTTCGGGGGGGATCGCAGTTCCCCTGGGTGAAGTGCAGGGGGCGGGGCACACGACGAAGCCCCGCCCCTTCTTCTGGCCACCCCCTTCTTCCAGCCTCATTCTGTTGCAGAAGGAGGAAGAAGCAGGAGGGTAAGTTGGCGTCTTCCCCCTCTGCCTGGCCGAGGCCACTCCACGTGGCCTCCGCAAGGACTCCCAGCCCCATCCAGAAGCTTCCCTGAGGTAGCTGTGTTAGTCTGTTGCTGCAAAATAGTCCAAGAGTCCAAATAGCACCTTTAAGACTAACAAATAGCACCTTTAAGACTAACCTTTAAGACTAAGACTAACTGAGTGGTGGGTGTGGCCTTATGACACACTTCCAGTGATGGCAGGGGGTGTGGCCTTATGACACACTTCCGGTGATATCAGGGGTGTGTGGCCTCATGACACACTTCCGGTGATGTCAGGGGGTGTGGCATATGCTAATGAGTTATGCTAATGAGTTCCCCTAGCTCTTTTTCTATGAAACGACCCCTGGCCACTCTTAACCACTACACCAAACTGGAGGGTCAACAACAGGGCAGGGAGGCCAAGGCCTTCCCTTTATGTTGTCTTCTAGCACTCATATTCAGAGGTTTGTTCCATTGCACATCTCTTTACACTTACCTACATTGAATTTCACCATTGCCCACCCACCCAATTTGTGGAGGTCCTCGTGGAGTTCTTCACAGTTGGTTTGGTTTTCACCATCCTGACTAACTTAGGAGTCTTTGATGCAGTACGTGGTCAAAAACCATTTGAAAATCCGAGTACATAATGTCTATTGGGTCACCATTATCTACATGTTTGTTCACTTTCTCAAAGAACTCCAAAAGGCTGGTGAGGCAGGACTACCCTTTGCAGAAGCCATGCTGATTTTCACTTAGCAGGCTGTGTTCCTAATAATTCTATCTTTGATTACAGATTCTTCTAATTTGCCTTGGACAGATGTTAGGCTAACTGGCCTGTAGTTTCCTGGATCCCCTCTGGACCCTTTAAAAAAATTGGTGTAGCATTTACACCATTCAGTGTAAGATTTACAATATTGTTTGTTTGCCCTCACTGTTTCTATATAGCCAAATTTTAGTGGTTCTGTGGCCCTCAGAAATCATTTATTTATTTGTGTATTTATTTATTGTCTGCCTTTCTCACTGAGACTCAAGGCAGATTACACATGTAAATTGTAAATTAATGCAATCAATAGGATGAGCCATAATAGGACTGGGTTTACAGAAATCGGAAACAAAGCATATGGTAACATGCTGTGTTAAGCAATGCAGAAAATATATTGCTTTTGAAAAACAATGCAGTGAGGATATGATACTACATATGGGGAACAGATAATACATAATATACACAGCAGTACAGTCCACATTTCCAGTCCCTTTATAAAAGAACTTTCCTAAACCATTCCATTTACCTTTATAAAAACGCCCGACTGAGCAATTCTGTTTTACATAGTTTGCAAAAGGACAGAAGTGTGGGAGTCTTCCTGATCTCCACAGGCAGGCCATTCCACAAGGTGGGGGCCACAACAGATCATTCATGTATATGGGCAGTTGTTGATCTTGCCCATTTGCAGGTTGGCACCCCCACAAGGCTCTGCTCGGTTGAGCGAAACATGTAATAGCAGAACATATTGTCATATTGTTTGCTAAAGCCTGATTGCCTTAAAAAGGACACCAAAGCAGTGGCAGATAAGGAGAACAATGACTACAAACAGGTATAAAAACAAGCATGAAACAAGAAGAAAGTAGGAGTATTTCTGGGGTGCTTTTTACGATCTTATTCCCTTGAAGGTCTAGGACTGCAACCATTTGCTATGATTGTTTCAGCCTTCACATAGTAGGTCAGATCTTCCTCGCAGTCTCTGCAAACATCGAAGGGTAAAGTGGCAGGAGCATCTGATCTATGCCATGATATTCACTACAAATGCAAAATCATCAATCATGAGAAGACTCTGGGGCCTGTAGGATTCTAAAGATGCCTAGTGCATCATGGCAGGATGGCAGATCCAATCCAGATAAAAATAGAAATTAGTGAGTCCCTCTAATTTCTGTGGATGTTCTTGTACAGAATCCTACATTCTGTGTCAAATGTCAGGTGTTTCAGCACCTGGGAATGCAGATGTGATTCTCTTTCCTGGAGAAGCATCCAACATTAAAAACATTTAAAATAAAATAAATCTCTCCTTATATATAAAAGAGTTTTCGTGTGACTCTCTCCTGAACATTCGACATGCTTCCACAGCCTTTGGGCCCCTGATCTGTCAGTCAGGAGGGGGGGCTAATCCCCTGGCCACATTCCCTCCCTCCATCGCCTCAGTCCAACCCACACACCCACTGGGCAGCATCTCGCCCTCAGTCTGTGGGGAGCCGCCGGGCAGGATGAATGCTCCAGCGGCTGGATGCGTCAAAGCCCCAGGCCAATCCTTTTGGTGTCTCAGCATTCATCGCTGACTGAGGCCAACTCCAGGTAGCTGGATGCCCTGCCATCGGGTGGGGTCCACTGGCCTGATGGCGGTGGAGGCAGTCTGCGGGATGATGCCACCTGCCCAGACAGGGAGGCAGTGGCAGCCTGTTCCTTTGCCCCTCCACCCTGCAGTCTGCGGAGGGGGGAGAAACCAGGGACCGGAGGTCAGTCTTCCTGCTACCATGCCTGTCATTGCTGTGCAAGGCCCAATGCACCCCGCCACCCACCCTGCGGTCGCACGGGGGCCAGTGACCCTCTGGCCCACAGAGCACTCAAGGCGGTCCTGATGCTGCTTGTGCCAGCCAGCCAGGGAGACAGTGCAAGCCCGTTCCATTGTCCCCTTGAGCCTGGGGTCTCACCAGGGGGCTCATAGTGGGGGCCTGGCCCTCATTCTCCTCACGGGTGACATGCGGCCCAACTGCCATGCCAGGCAGAGGGCCCTCATGCTGACACTGCTTCTCCCACCACACTGGCCATTGGTGTCCCACAGGCTATGTGCATGGCTGCCCTGCAACCCGGTGGCTGCCGCCATGCCACCCGGGCAGCCAGTGGTGGAGCCAGCCTAGACGCCATCCGTGCCCACCCAGGGACACCATGGCAGCCCATGCCACCGCACCGGGGTCTCTGCGGCGTGTCCAGGGCAGGGGCGCACAGAGGTCTCACGTCCTTCTAGGGCTCGGTGTATTGGTCCTACGACGAGTCTTGTTCCTAGTATATACAGTAATTCAATAAAAATATATAAACAGTCATAACACTAAAAACCGAGAAGGAGGCCAATAACAGTTACTGGGAATCAAAAAAGTATTTCCCCACTGGCAGAAGACAAACAGCCATAACCAGGAAGGCACTTCTCTGCACAGTAATGAAGATATTTACTTAGCTATGGCTTGGATTTTTTAGAGATAAATTCTACATGTATACTTTTTTCAAAGCATAAATTTCATTTTAAACTTTCAAGGCGTTGTGTATTTTTGTAACACAAATTCTGTTATCCTACTTGCAGAGTAAAGAATGTTTTGCCTTCATCATCCACTGAAAATATGACAGGCATGCCATAAAAAATCATGGGCATGCATTGGTTATGGCAAGGAGCACGAATGACATATGCATTGTATATGCTTTGCATGCACTACTCATAACAAATTCATTCTTCAACAGAAAATATTTACTAGACTTTATCTTTTTAGATGTTTGAAGGGATATGTCAACAGTAGTTTATCAGTATTTGATCTGAGTGAGCTTGGCATGGGATATTCAGGATACTGCAGGTATGTACTTAATGACAAATTGCTGGCTGCTTGAGTTGCATTTAGATTGCTTTGATCAATGCAATGGATAGCATTATTTATCTAATAATCCCAATAATGGGATCTTGCGCACAAAAGCACATGCTACAACAAATCTGTTATTTTTAAGATCTTTTCATTCTTGTTGTCACTGACTAGTATGGCTATTAGTCTACTCAAAGCTATGAATGCTAATGGGATGTTGAAAATGCCAACTCCCTGCAATGCACACAATCATGTTTAGATTTATTTATATTTTATACATTATTTTCATTTCATTAATTTATTTACTTGAGGTCAGGTTAATGTAGAAGAGATTGGTTGTGGGGTCATTAAATAAATTGTTAAAATGTGCCTCCCTAACTATGGGGGAAATTTAAGAACTTGGTGAGCAGGCATTTTTAAGGCAATTGGAAACTACCCACCAAAATGTTATCTGTTTGCTGAGACTCTCAGCAACATGGACCAGATTCATAATCTGGAAGACTGTTTATAAGATGTGGGTCATTTATATTATGTTTGGGGAAGTATTTTGATGTTATAATATCACTGTAAGGTCCACTTATAAGGCATTTAATTTCATACCTCATATTGAAATGTATACAGCAACGATGTCTGACTGTATTGATTGTATATTTGAAAAATTCAATAAAATTTAATGGGGAAAAGTATATAAGATGTGGGTCAGTCCCTATAGAGACCTTTAGTCTTTATATAAAAGGCAAGAAAGAGGCTAGAACTGGAAAAATTTAAAATAGCAATAGGCCCTTGACCTCATTTTTTTTTCCTGCCAATGGCACTGTTTTTTGGAGAAGATGAAATAATTCTAGAGTGGACCAAAGGCACAGTGTAATAGACTGCAATATATACATCTGGTGAAAGAATACATTGTGGCAGTCTCTGGGGTCAGTAGATGGAACTGTCTTGTTTTTTCAGGGCCCCAGTAGATGGGCCATTGAGACAGGATAGACTCCTAGAGGCCATATTTTGGTTCCACCTCAATAGCTTGAGTTTAGGAACGGGTGTCGAAGAAAGAGGGGAAATAGAAAATGGGGAAGTTGACAATGGAGGAGAAAAGACTTTGATAAAAATTCAAAAAGACATATGATCGCTTTCTAAAATCTCACCAGTCTGAAAGGAGCCTATGTGATCTAAATAGGAGGAAGTAATGAGCATATAGTCAATAGGACTCCTAGCCTCTAGTCCTGAAGCAGACTATTTTGAAGATAGGTTGTTGGATTCATATCAATTTCTACCTCTCTCAGAACAACAGGATATGCTTGCTAAATGTAATTTACTCAAAGCAATGCCAGTAGTAATTAAACCTATTAAAATACAAGAAAATGTAATCATCAAAGATGAACAGTGCAGGAAGAAAAAAAATCACGACAGAATTAAAATCCTCATTAGAGGCTCAGTGGCTGAAAGCCTCTTGAGAAAGGTAAACTTTACTAACTCTCTGAAAGACTGCTGAATAGAAAACACTCCAGTCCTTCAGTGAAGTAATTACACAGCCTCAAATAAACTGCAGGATAGGCTCCAGTACTCATTACAGATTCCATCTCTTCCATAGGCACATAGAACAGATCATAAATGGTTGCATCAGGGTTCCTATAGGCCAAACACTATATATGGGTCTGAATCCAAGGTGTGATTGATTTCTACTTAGTTATTGCTCATTCACATTTGAACATTATTAATATTTACTATTGTGTTTTCTTATAACCCTAGACATTCTAAGATAAAATTGTTCATGAATTATTTGCCTTGATCACAAACATCCTTCATTTGATAGGTTTCCATACACAGGCTTCTGTTTCTTCAAAAAGAAGACCAAATACAGAATGCCAAGCCAAGCTTTTACCAAATGACTTTTTAATATATATATATTGTTACAGGTACAGAGATTATAGAGCACCTCCCTGGAGTTCAACACCTTATGAGTTTACCTTGCAGTTCTGGCATGTTCTAGCAGCTCGATTGGCCTTTATTATAGTATTTGAGGTTAGTTAATTTATGTATGAATTAAAATGGTTATAGTCTACCTTCCCCCTTGTCTTAAGGTGGCTTACAAACTCAAATTTAAAATATACAATAACACCCACAAATAATCACCTCCCTCTGCAAAGTCTGTGTTAAGTGCTCAGCAGGGGAGGTGGTGGATGCTCCTTCGCTGGACGTTTTCAAGCGGAGGCTGGACGACCATCTTTTGGGTATGTTGTAGGGTTATCTTTCGGCTATGCTCCTGCAGGGGGTTGGACTAGATGACTTGCAAGGTCCCTTCCAACGCTAACGTTCTATGATTCTATTTCCCCAGAATATAAAGTTTCCTTGGGATATGCACACAACATGATTTGGACAATGGCCACCAATAGCACTCTCTCATGGCATCATATTTTGTTACAGCCTCCTGTCCTCATTTACACAAATATGAATATATATGCATCTAATCAGGATTCCATGTTATGTACAGACAGAAATATTCATTAATATTAGAGGTATTAGTTTAATTTTATATTCCAAGAAACTGGCTCCAGGAAATGACTGAGAGGAAAATGTAGAATTCACTGCTGTCATTCGTAATGGAGAGGGCTAAGTGTCCAGCATTCTGGCCCTGAGGAAAATAGTGGAGACCTGGATTGACTGGAAGGGAAAGATTCAGTTCCCCTCCCCACAACCAACACCCTGTGAGGTAGGTGGGGCTGAGAGAGCTCTGGCAGAAACTGCTCTTTCAAGAACAGCTCTGACAGAACTATTTACTATTTGTAGATGCTTCCTTGCTTAGTTTGCCAGTTACTGAGTCAATAAAAGGTCTGAGACCATCTTACATAGTCAGTGAATAGATTTTTAAAGATCATAGCATAGCAATCTAAATAGTTTCATGTTGGTGGAAGCACTTAACATTATATTTGTTTTCTCTTTTTTTCCCCAGCATCTCGTTTTTGGAATAAAATCTTTCATTGCCTACTTAATACCAGACATGCCCAAAGATTTGTGTGACAGGATGAGGAGGGAGAAATATTTAGTTCAGGAAATGATGTATGAGGCGGAATTAGAGCATTTGCAGAGAGAACGGAAAAAGAATGGCAAACAGTATCACCACGAATGGCCTTAGATGATACTGAATAGCAGTCACAACTTTCACATCAGAATTGGCTCCTCTGAGTACAGGCTGAAGATGGGAATCTGGCACTGAGTCAATTTAAGCCTTGTATATCTGCTGCTACTGGGAAACAAATGATCAAGCTTTGCTGTGAACTGGAGAAATCATGGTAACCCCACAGAGAAGTCAAATGGCTATGCTGAAGATGGATTACTGAGGATTGAATGCTGGCTCAGCAGGATGGATTCACTCAGCAAAAGTATGATAAGATACAAAGAGCTTGTGAAAGGCATCTACAGCATAAGAGAAAACAAAATTGATCAAATGTAAAACTTTCATAAGGGCATGATTTCCTTTTTTAAAATGATGTTTATCCACTACTACTGCAGCTTTTAATTGTTCAAATGAATTTGTATAGCCAATGGAAAACATCTAGTGAAATTAATTGTTGCCTTTGTGGCCATAAATTGATGCTCTAACAGTCCTGCAGGCTTCCTGTTTTGTCAGGTTTGTCCTAGTCTCTTGCTGAGATTGTGGATGTGGCTCTGCCCTTTAAAAGGGATGTCAGCCTATTTGATATTTACTATGCAGTTTGATGTTTGCACATCACTTCTTGTTTGTCTTTAAAAGAAAATATATATATATATATATTTCTCTAAATACAAAGAACAAGCAGTTCTACTTAAGGGGGGCTCCAACGATCTTCCATACCTGGAAACTGGTTTCTGCATGCAGAAAAGCTCCCCCTCCCCTACAAGAATCTTGTGTGATGCATAAGGAAAATCACGTTGCACCCAGAGTATAGTGTCTGCATGCAGAAGCCTTTGTCACATAATTGACTCTGAACACATCTTAAGGCTTATACATGGAACTGCACAAGCAGATAACTTTTGCCCCCCTCTCTGCTGTCTGCAGAAGAACAACCTGGCTTTTCCAATGATTGATATTCATTGTGCAAATAAAGGCCATCTCATACCACCAAAGTGAACAGTCCTATCCATGCTCTAATGTAGCATGCAGAATTGTGTCAATATTCTCTTTGAGCTACCTGGATATTAAATATCCCCCCCCCCCAAAAAAAAAAACAACCGTCAACTTGAAATGTCTTATTGCATTGCAAATAATTTCACCCTAAGAAGTCAATTTTGTTAGTTGCTCTATGCAAGCACCTGTTTAAGCAGAATATAAAGTATAACTTGCTCGCTTGAGAATTGTGAAACAGGACTATAAAACCATTCTTTTCTATAAAATCAAAGCATGGCAATAGATGTATAAATAGTATTTGATTATTCTCCACATTTAGGCCTTTTAAAAATGTATTCAGTACATGTTCTTGTAGCAACTTGAACTTTGATTCTCACATCCCTGCAAAAGAGAAGAGTAACTCTCATGTTTTTTTGATGATATTACTACAATTCTTTACTATGAATATTTCAAACCATGGAAGAAATGAAGCACTAAACCCAAACAAGTGTGCTGGATTCACTTGTCCACGGGGGACCAAATGATCCCAATCTTGCTTTTGTAAGTTTTCAGGTGTAGAAATCTTTCTTATTTATATTAACCAAAGTAAATGCAAACCTTATGTTTTCACGTTCCAAGATTTGCAGAATTATATAGCAAAGCACAGTAATCGTATCAAAAGTTATATTTTTGCATGAGCTTTGAAATGAATGAATCATTTTATTATAGATATAATATTATCATGTTTACAAGGAATCAGTTCCCGTTACTTCAGCCCATGAATGCCCTATTTATGATGTTCTGGCCTCACAGTTTTTCTTACTGTGTTTCTCTCATATAGTTACTATTTTATACAGCGACAGTCTAGTTTATATTAAGGCCCTTTCTATATATGGATAGACCAATAATGCAGTAGCTGGGTATGTACATGCAGATCTCTCTACCGATATAGCCTTCCCTGGATATTTCAGTGCAGAGGAAGCCTTTCCCATGTGACCATTGATGGTGATGTCCTCCATGGAAGAGAATGAAAAAGCCTACTTCTACAGGAGCTGGGTGGAGACATAATATGGAAGGCATTAAAACACACACTTTATTTGTGTGTTATAAAATGAGGAATACTGTTTTACCTTTGGTTTGCTATTGTTAAATTTTATCTGATTGCCTTGGCTGGGTCCAAGCTTTAGAAGCATATAGTTCACTCCCCAATTGAAATGTTAATTATTTTGCTACTTCTGTTTTCTCCCATCTGCCACAATTTGATCCAGACCATGTAAACATTGAGATTGGTTATTAAAGTGAAAGAAAAGGAATCCTTGTGATTTTCCAGATTATAAAACTAATGTGAACATATACAGTGCTAGTTTGAATCTGAAGCCACAGATTTATTCCTAGCTAAACCCACTGAGAAACTGACAAGTCTAGTGACTTTGATACTGCAGCCTTCTCTTAAATTATTTTTTTTTTCCAGCCATGGAAAGCACACAAACTTTTTCAAAGGAAAAAAAGTTTTCTTGGGGCCCTTTGTGGGTTTTTTTTAGAAAAACATGCTCAGTGGTTTCTAAATGTTGCAGTAAAACAGCCATTTGCTTTAGCTGGGAGAAATGCTCTGCTAGGATTTGATTTGTGAGGTTGCATTGAATGCAAATTATCTTACAAAGATATATGGCACACTCTGTTCTCAGGAAATACGTATAACATGAATGCTGGTTAAATCTCTCTGTCTCTCTCTCTCTCTCTCTGAGTGTGTATATTTTTAAAAAGGAATTACTACTATCTGTGGTATGTGCATGCAAGCTGCCTATGTGGACTTTCCACAGAACTTCAGAACTAGCATCTTTGCAAAAAATGCTTTAGATCTTCATTGATCTAGTGTACAATAACTTGGTCTATGCATGTACTTTCAAAATCGGTGGCATGAGCAGCTGCAGTCTGGCTTTCCAATTCCTATGGTCAGTTACTAGTCCAGTATGTCTTAACTATTGCTAAATCAATCCAGTGTCTTGATGCAATCAAAAGGAACCCTTGCACCAGAAATAAATATTTGTTCACCACTTGTCATTCTTATATTTCATCATCCCACCTTGTTAATGGGTGCCTAATGTATAAGACCAGCAGGGTGGAGGAATCTGTTAAAGAAATGCAACATGAAAAGGGCTCTCTTGCATCGAATTCGCTAGAAAATCAGTTCCTGAAAGCGAATGAATCAAAATGTGGAAATAACTTATAAAAGGCAGCGGGCTCTATCTGGGATCAAGCTATGCAGAAGGGATCAAAGCTCAGAAGCAGAATACATCCTTTGTGCATAAAAGGTCCTAGATTCCACCTAATGCATCTTTAGGTCAAAAAGAGTTTAGTTTGCAGGGATCAGAAGGCCATCTGCTTGAAACACTTTACATCTGCTTCCAGTCAGAATAAACAAAAACGGACCAAAGATCTTATACTAATGTAGTTCCATATGTTCATAGGATATATTACATGAACAAAAGTTCATATAAAGTATAACTAATAGCCAGTCTGTGACAATGTTTTATAAAGAACATGTCAAACACATTCACTTACCCCTAGGTACAATAAACAGAAGATTTCCATGTACATACCAGGCATATGTGTTGCCACATTGTGATATTCTTCTATTAAATACTGTTCCTTTGTCACAACATATTCATGCTTTATATACACTTCTGATTGTCATCTTTCTCTCCCCACCCCACCCCTTACTGCTGTTGCATACGGTATCTATGGTATCAGATCTGATTTTTTACTTTATGGCGTAACTTGTTTCCACCAAAAGCTGTTGCAATGTTGGAGCATTTTCTGGTGCTGAAATTTGTATTTTGGGCCAAACAATAAGACATATTTTCCCCACTGAAACTGTAAATAAATGCTTTATGAATGAATATCAAAAGCACAATCTGCTTGGATGTTTTCTTTCTGAAAAATATAGCAGTGCCCTTAATTTCAGTAGTATCTGTATGAAATTGCAGTTCTGCATGGGAAAGATATGTGAAAGAGTAATTGCTGTCCTGGTGTCTGATCCAGAAGAATATAGGTAGAGTAACCAGATTTGCACATGTGTAGCTCCCTTTTTTTAAAAAAAGCTGAAATCTAATTGATTAGCTATTTGTCTGGGAAAGGAAGGGAGACAAAATCCAGCCACTCTCTCCCTGCTTGAAATATTTCAGCTCTTTTTTAAAAGGAGAAGTCCTAGAGGCTGGATTGGGAAGGGGAACCATGCTAAGTAGCAGGCCTCGGTTCCTGCAAAAGCGTACCAGAGCACCGCTCCGCCAGTCAGGAGCCCAGGGGGCGGGCACATAAGCCTCGTCCCCTGCTCTCACTAGCCATCAGTTGGGCAACCGTGGGGTGGGGGGTGAAACGTTCCCCCACCTCCCTGAGCCCCGGGGTGGTGGCCTTGGACTCGTAGGGGCAAATTCCACTTCTTGCGTATCACACGAGAGAGGTCATTCTGGCTCCCCCAGCTCTCCTTAGGGGCTCTTTAAAAAGTTATGGGTGCCTCCAGTGTTCTTGGAGGCAGCTGCGATGCCTGCGGGGGGGCAAAACGTTCTCCCACCTCCCTGAGCCCCGGGTTGGTGACCTTGGACTCGTAGGGGCAAATTCCACCTCTCGCGTGTGATGTCCAAGCATTGCCGCTCGGACATCACATGTGAGAGGTCATTCTGGCTCCCCCAGCTCTCCTTAGGGGCTCTTTAAAAGGTTATGGCTGCAGCCGCTGTTCTCTGTGGCAGCTGCGATGCCCGCGGCGGGGCAAAACGTTCTCCTGCCTCCCTGAGCCCCAGGGTGGTGGCCTTGGATTCATGGGGCAAATTCCACCTCTCACGTGAGGTCATTCTGGCTCCCCCAGCTGTCCCTAGGGGCTCTTTAAAAAGTTATGGCCGCTGCCGCCAATTTCAGCAGCAGCTGCAACCACCGCGGGGGGGGACTCCTGAGCTGCCCTCCCTGCCTTTTTCATGCTCTGTGCCGGAGCGCCGGTCCTGAAAAATGGAGTGCATAGCCGCCGCCCCCCCCCCGCCCTCCTCTCCTTTTTCAGG